CTATTTTATCTATTATTTTATGTATTAGTAAATTTCAAGATGATATTTTAAATCAAAAGTTTTTACTCAGAGTTGATTCTCAAAGTGCTAAATATGTTTTAGAAAAATATGTTCAAAATATTACATCTAAACAAATTTTTGCTAAATGATAATCTATTTTAAGTATATTTGATTTTGATATAGAATATATCAAAGGAAGTCACAATTCTATCCTAGATTTTCTTACCAGGGAATTCTTGCAGAAATCTGATGGCCAACAGACAATCAAACACAAAGGCTTCCCAGGGGAGACAGATCCAACCCTTTGATATATGCCTAGGAACTCCACTCCTAGTAAAACAAGAACAGTCTTCCTCTACTCTTGTAGTAGTCAACAGGTTCCAAGTTCTTGCCCAGCACCTACAGTCAAACCTGTTGTAGTCTCACCTCGACTAGATCCATTTCAAGTCACCTCCTCTATCCCTAGGAGCTACCAACAACAGCCACCCAAAAAAACATTATCAAAAAACGTTCAGAAGCCTTTTGCTTCAAACCTATTCTATATTGAGCCCCATCAGAGTAAGATAAAAGACCCCATTACTTTAGCCCATACTTATTTTCCAAAAAATTGGAATTTCTGCTCATTCCACCCTAGTAAAACCCATATATTCTACAGAAACATTCTCTATCACACTGAGTCAGTTATTATTAAACCAATCATAGATCGTAGTGATCCCTCTAAAGTCATTTAACATTCATTATACATTCAAAGAATCATCTCCATGTCAGAATGGGGTACTCATCTCTCCCTGCTAAAAGAATTAACTGAACATGATATTCAATATAATTATTATGATTATATAGAGTCATGGACAAAAGTTCTCTAATATCAAAATGAGTCATTTTCCCATTCCTGGTTCCACAATTTTGATAACAAATTCAAAATTCAATTATCAACTTGGTTTTTAAAATGGTGGTCCCAATATGGATCCATCCCTGAAATTCTTCATTCTGCCCTTGCAGACCAAGTAAAATACTTTTCTACAGTCTACAAAGTCAATCAACACAATTCTCAATTCCCTGCGTTACTCCTCTTTTCCAGTAAATATAAAGTGCCATGGATATTCAAATAACAATATGACATCCAAAGTAATACGGTCATCAGACGTCATTTTGTCAAATGGTGGGATTCTTTTAAATATGACATGATCATTAGTTACATGGAACATGAATTCCTAGCTCAGCCCCAGAAAAAGCTAAGTCAGCCTGCTCCTACTCAGCCCGAGAAACAGCTAAATTAGCCTGTTCCTGCTCAAGTTAAAAAACGGATCAACATACAAGTTAAACCAGAGAAGTCTTCTTCAATAGAAACATCTCGCACCAGAGCAACTTCTAAGTCAGAACTAGTAAAATTCAAGGATCTTGTAGTAAAACTCATAGGTCAGATGCAACAATTATCCGAAGAAGAACAAGAAGAAAGTGATGAAACATCTTCTGTTGAATCCAGCTATCAGGCTAATCAGTCAGTGGATCCTTATTCTAGTCAGTTATTTTAATATGGCCAAGATCCAATTCATCTAGGCAAAAATTAACCAAGGAATCAGTCAAAGGTCATTTATCACTATTTACTACAGTATCAATCAACGGTCATTATCACTATTTGCTACAGTATCTGTCGGGTTCCCGACAATATACTATTCATTTACACTAACCGTCGGCACAAAGCGATAGGAATAGTAACTTATTATTCATCTACAGTAACAGATAAATAGTCACTTTCGGTGGAAAAGCCGAGATTCCCGTCGCAGATTCCGCCATAGTAGTCAGAATTAAGTTCTTCTATATACATAAAAAAAAAACCCCTTCGACTTGTAGCATTTTCCAGTAAACCCCCCATTGACTATTTTTTTTTTTACCAAAAAAACCCCTCAACTTGTTACATTTTTTCAATAAATTCACTTGTCTAATTTTTTACCAAAGAACCCCCCTCAACTATCTGAAGGGGGTAAAATAGTTGATATTTAGACCAAAATGCCCTTTTATTTAAATCTTAATTCTCTCAATCTTCAAAAATTCATATCTCACAAACCATACATTTAAAAATAGTAAATAATATATGCACGAAAAGCTTATGAAATAAGGATTTCATAAATATAAGATTTGTACAACAAACCTTCATAACCAGAGAGAAATATTCAATCTAAAAATCTGCTCCAACAATTTTATTTTATTTTTTAAAAATAAAATACTCGAGATATTTGCAAGAAATTTTCAGAATTATTCAATTACATATGGAGATGAATATATAAAAAATTTAGCCCCAATAGAAATCAATTTCATAATATATCATATTTTGCGTCAAAGTATTTTCATTCTTTTATGGACTTACCATTTAAAAATAAATAAAAATGAATATTCGGTCTCTATTGGGGTTAATTTTTTTATATGTTATGCTCCATATAAAAATGAATAATTCTGAAAATTTTCTTGCAAATAACCTAAGTATTTTATAAAAAATAAAATAAAATAAGATTGTTGCAGTATATTTTTAGATTGTTTATTTTTGTCTAGTTATGAAGTTTTGTTAAACAATTATATTTCTGGAATCCTTATTTCATAAACTTTCCGCGCATATATTATTTGTAATATTTGGATATACGGTTTGTGAGATATGAATTTTTGAAGTTCAGGAAAATTAAGATTTAAATAAAAGGGCATTTTTGTCCAAATATCAACTCTAGTACTCCCTTAGATAGTTGAGGGGGGTTCTTTGGTAAAAAAATTAGACAAGAGGAATTTATTGAAAAGGGTTACAAGTCGAGGGGGGGTTTTTTGGTATAAAAAATAAAAATAAAAATAGACGAAGAAGGTTTACTGAAAAAGACTACTAGTCGAAAAGGGTTTTATTTACTTTGCCCTTTCATTTGTAAAGACCAAGCTTTTCTTTCAAATTTGTTTGTCTAGCACTTACGATATGTTGCATCAACAGAGTAATCATCTGCATATTTCAGTGATTTGTAAGTCATGTTATAAGTCAATTATTGTATTACACTATGTTCTATTAATACAAAAGTTAATTTCAGTAATTTTATTTCTGTTATTTTATTTCTTTGTTATATATTAATATCAATAATTTTACTTCTATTATTGTGCTATTTTAATGTTTTGTCTTTATATATAATACGCTGCTTCCCCCTTAGAACATCTAAGGCGCATCAAATTGTAGAGAAGATTTGTGAAAAGTAGAAAGAGAGAGGGGCGGTATGCATTCAAAATTGAGTGCCCTTTTTGTGGCCTCCACAAAGACTTCTCTATGGGCTTCTTTACGGACAAAAAATAATTTGGAGCATATCTATCATTTTTTTTACTTTGTTTATTGGCTGCTCTATCTCGTGTGGATTCACAAAGAATATGTGGATAGATAGTAAAAAAGAGATAGTAGCTTTCAAACGGCTCTTTTAAAACAGCTATTTTATTTACTCTACAAATACTAATTCTCATCTTCAATAATTCTCTCTCTCAATATTTTTTTCAACATTCATCTTTATAGATTTCCACATCCATTATGATATCATATATTATGGTATCATATATATATATATATATATATATATAAAGAGGGCCAGTGGGATGACATATAATTGTCATTTTCAGCCGAATATTGCTTTCATGTTACTTAATAGAATAAATGGTTTTATTATTATTTTTTCAGTCAACAAAGATTTCCTCTATTATCAAGATTTTTATCTAGACAAGTTCTCACATACCATCGTTTTTGCTATTTAAAATAATTTATATGACTAATCTTAAAATAAAATAGATTAGGATTTAAGTCTTTATACGAACAAATTAATGGATAAATTACTTGTTATAAAAATAAAAAATAAATAAATAAACAAATAAACGATGATATAGTTTTAATGAAGGTCAATTTTGTTTAAAGGAAAATAATTATCTTTGATAGGACTTTAAAGGCCCAAAGATTTAACTTATGAGAAAAAAAAATTTAAAGATAACATCATTTATCATGGATAAACTCAATGATATATAATGTCTCATAAATAATTCGACAACAACCATGACTATTTCTTAGGCAATGATGGATAAATTGACTAAATAGGCCAACTATACAAACTAATTAAAACACAACCAGTTGATATACTTACGTGCAATCCACTTTATGCAATTTTATTTAAAAAAAAAAAAATTTCTCAAATCATTCATTTAATTAAATTCGTAATGTTATGTCTGTTTTTAAACCGAAATCATTTATCATGAATTATGTTCGTGATATACCTTCATCTAGTACTACGCGAATGTGTTTCATGCTGCAATTTGAGTAACAAAACGTGTCTTTGATTTTGTCAAGCTAGTTATATACGAAGTATTATTAATGATTTTGACCTAAGACGGTGACATGATATCTTCAACCCTCACGGAACTTAGACACAAATAAAAGTTTTCGTACAAGCATGTCGCAAAATTCGAGGGATAGGGAGGGTATCTTATGCATTGTCTACTTCATGTTACAGTAACATGTTTGAACGGAGCTTCCTTGTCACCTTCATTGCCTGGCCTTTTCTATTTGACAATTTTGAGGATGTTTCCACGAAGGTCTAGTCACATTTGTTTTTGTTTTTTTGGCCTTTCAGCTAATACATGTTTTAGTACTTTTTTTGTAACTACATGCTTTAATTGCAAAAGTTGTGATTCCAAGACACCATGTCTATTCAACTAAAAACTCTCAAATCAATAATTGCAAAACCCAATCACTTAAATAGTAAGAATACTATTTCAGACCATTGTTTCAAAAAAAATTCAGAAAAGTAAGGATAACTCATGTTTGAACTATGATCTTGATGGTGGAAATTAATTTAGTTTTCTTAAATTGATTAGTCACTTTGACCTAAACTTTATCCAACGTGAAAAAAATAAAAATAACAGGACTTCAAAGTGAAAAGACAAAAATAGGTTTTTGCAAATATATATAAACAGTAAACATATGTATGGATATTGGATATGTGACAGAGATGTTTGGTTTGTCAGAGAAAAAGGATGAATATTCTTCCGCGGACATTGGACTCGGAAACTTCACTCTTATCGTTGGGAGGCATCGTCCTGACGATGATCGTGTCTCGTCTCTCCCACGTGCGAGCTCAGCTCCACAGCACGTGTGACCCTCATTCTTCATGCGTGCGAATATACCCGCCAACATCGCTCTATAAATACCGATCTCAACTCCTCAACTCTCACACCACTCATCGGAAAATGGACAGCGTCGATGCCTCGAAGCTCCGGTCGGAGTTCCTTCAACTCCTTCGCACTCGTCGATCGGCTGAAGGTGACATTCGATTTCAGAACCACTCAAATTTAGTCTCGATTTTAACCGTTTATGGATATATATATATAAATCTATATATTTATATATACATATATATCTGCATCCCCGGCCAATCTTACTTATTTTGCTTGCGTCTCTATATATACACACATATATATTCCTGTCTACATATGTGTGTGTGTGTGTGTGTGTGTGTGTGTGATGCATATATCATGTGTACATATGTGTGTATTTTTTATGGACATGCATACATGTATGTGTGAGGATGTAGATATCTAGATATGTATATGCACATTTAATTTACTAACTGTAAATTAGTATTGTCATTATTTTTTATTTAATTTTTCGAGATTTCTGTTATTCGGAATCTATCTCTGTATATACACACACGGAGATACACATACATTTTTGTGTGTGAGGATGTATATTATGTACGAATACGGAATATACACACACACACACACATTGATAGACTTATCTGACAGAGTATAGCATTTATAGACCTTCGTCTGTTTTTATTTTTTATTTTTGGGGAGATCATAATAGTAGTTTTATTCAAATGTGGAATGTAAAGCTTCTTCTGCATAGTATTGTTTGTTGAAGGATGAAATATGAGGACTAAACAGTGAGAAAAAGGAGTAAAGAATTGAAAATCATATATTGAAAAGGAGTAAAGAATTAATTATTGATGTTGTCAATTGTCATGACATGTGGTTTGATTTTCATAATATTTGGACATTATTTTGTTATTTTAACTTTTCGTAATAATTAGACATGTGGTTTTATTTTGGTAATATTTTCGTAATGTTGTACGCTTAATTTTGCTTGCTTAAGATGTGTGACAGAAAAATTGGGGAGTTTCATCAGTTTTGTTGATATTTATAGCTTCATTTGAAATTGTGACTAACATGAGCTAACTGAAAGTAAGTTTACAACTGCTCTATTCTCTTTATTCCCAACTTCAGTTGGTTTCTCATTGTCCACCGGCTTTCCTCACTAGCCTTGAGGATCAATTTTCTCTGTTTTTCTGGTTGTTGATTGCACAAAAGAAGCACAAAGTGCAATCAATGATGTATGACAGCGACAGACTGATTTTTCTTTATATTTTATTAACTAATTGCTGGACCGGAGATGGAATATGACCTAATCCTTACTTTGTCCGTTGAATTTGGTTATAAAAAATGTGGCTAATTGAGAGAGTAATATAGTGATGTTGTTGATTTGAATATGTCATTCCTGCTGTTTCTTTTTTCTCTTTAAATGCTTATTAGGTGGAAGCATGAATTATATCAATGCGAGATGTGAATTTTGGTTTAACATTGTTTTAGTTAGTTATTGTTTCATATTTCTTCTAAGGTATCAAGGAGAGTGAATTTCAAAATTAATAACACAAGCACAGGAGAGGGATGGTTGTGGATGCTTGTTTAACCTCTGTAATCATCTTCTTCACTGTTAATTGCGTACACTGCATCTTGGAAAGACTTTTCTTTGTTTGTTTGTTTTTTTTTTTTTTTCTAATTATTTTTTTTATGGTTTTAGATGATGTCCACATTACACTTGAATGAGGAATGAGTTTTTGTGATTGTGAATATCACACTAGTTTTCTAATTATACATGTAAAGATAAATGTGATAGATGGATGGAATTCTTGGAATTACGTACTCAACTTAACAAAGCCTTTTCCCCAACTATTGAGGTTGTCTACATGAATCCTATTTTTTCATTCCGCTCCATCCAAGGCCATCACCTCAGTTAAACCACATGTTATCGTACCCTTCCTTACTAACTCTACCCACCCTTCCTTACTAACTCTACCCACGTTAACTTTGCTCTTCCCTTCCCCCTAGTATTACCCTCAATGTGGACTATGTCACTCTTCCTAATTACCGCACTGAAAGGTCTTCTTTGCACGTGACCAAACATCTTAATCGATTTCTCTCATTTGATCTTCAATTAAACTCAACCATCTCACGAATGTGTTCAAATTTGTTAGAATTACATATTTTGGGTTATTTTCTGTCAGACTTCAATAAACTCTGTAAATTTCGTTTGATGGACAAAACATGACTGTATCTCTTCTTCTTTCCTGAGCATTTGACATATGATATGTTACACTTGCTTTTTGTAAATTTTGTTCCTTTTTGGAAAATTTCAGTTCCACTTACTGTGGAAGCCGGAAAACCTGTGGTGGATCCTTTGTATCAGGAAACTCCCCGGCCAAACTTCAGTGAGGTAGAAACCTTCAGGATCTTTATGTTGCTTCTTGGCATTTGTTGGTTGTACTATTCTGATTTACATTCTCCGGCATCTAACCAGGCAATGGAGTCTTGTCCAAAGGCAAATATTCCAAACTTTAAAGATCTAGTTAAAGAAGAAAATCTCTACTTGACGACTGAGGTAAGAAGACTTTTGAATACTTCTTCTATTCTTTGATCAGCACATATTGGTTTTTAATTTTTTCTAACCATTTTTTTTTTTTTTGATAAGTGGTTTTTACTAACCAGAATAAATACATAATTTAGTTTATGCTATAAAATTTTAATATATAGAAGGAATAATACTAGAATTTTGTGCCAATATGACTACTTGATTGAACTTTGAAGGAATGTTTACATTCTTCTCATAAAATGATCCAAAGATATTGGATATTAAAAAACTACCATAATTTAATATCAATGTAATTTTAAGGTTTTGAAGTACAATGACTTTTTTATTTAAAGAAGTCTAACATGTCATCCTCTTGTCAGAATTTTGTCATTCTGTTTCTTTTTCCAAATAGATTATAGCTTGAAAGATGCCATGATCTAATAAGTCTAATTATGATAACCACTTGACGAGTCAACCAAATTCCTTGTTGCAGTTTGCCAGTTAAATACTTTTGTTCCCAGTAAGCTTTATTTAAGGCCATATCTACCATGGAAGTTAAATACTTTTGTTCCCAGTAAGCATTATTAAGGTCATATCTACCATGGAATCATAATCCACAACCTACATTCTTCTTTACCTTAGCCTTGTCCCTGCACCATCTTTTATCATAATCTTGACTGCCCTAGCGTAGTCTTCTGCCTTCTCTGTAAATAATGAGTGCAACACTTCATCTCATCTTTTAATTAGTGCGTGACTGATTAGAGTCGTCACTGCTTTTTTTATTTGCACATTATCATGCCAAATTTCTCGCTATTTTTCCTAAGCCAAATTTTCTCCTTTTTAGGTATTATGTGTTATTTCCACCCCTGAGACTAATCCTTTCCTGATATATAATTTATTGGGCCTAGTCATGGGTAGGATTTTCACCTGGGATCTCGAGGTCGATTTAAGGGTCCTAACACTCATCTACACCTATACAGGCTAAGTCAGATTTCTTACATATTTTGCTCAATTCGTGCTATCCATATGTCCTAAAATTAGTGCTATCCATATGTCCTAAAAAAATGCATTCATTCTAATTCTAGGCTTTCTAGCATTTTCTTTTGCCCCCTCCCTCTGTACTTTTTTCCTTTTTTATTTTTTATTTTTTATTTTTTATTTTTTATTTTTTATTTTTTATTTGCCCTGCACATGTTTTCTCCTTCTGTTAATTTATTTGGGCATTGACTCTTGAATGCTCAGTACTCTCCAAGAAAGATCATTAGTTGGTGTGATAGCCACCTCACTTAATTTTGATTTTGATTCATAGGTCAAATTGCACATTGCCATAAACCTTTGTATCACTTGCTCTGATATTATTGACAACATCATCTTTAACTCCGCTTCCCCATGGATGATTAATCCAGACAAGAGAAAGTGGTCAATCATTATGAGAATGTACTATTTTCCCAGTTCTCTCATCATTATCGACCTCTTCCAAGTTCCAACTATTCTCAAACTAATTATAGTTCCATTATACATGGCATTCACCGTAACAAAGGGATCATTGCCCGGTGCAATAGTAAAAAGTTGGACTAACAACCATAAAGTTGCAGCTTCAAGTTTGGGAGCAGTCATTGTGTGTAATAATGCTAAAAGTTAGGTATGACTATAATCTTCCCCTCCTAGCCCGTGTTAGCAGAACATGCACTAGATAATGCACCTTAAATTTAATCCATTTTAGAATCCAACACTTTTTTGTTCCCCTAAAAGGATGTAAGGGAAAAAAAAAAAATGATCATGCCATAAGATTATTCGTTGTATGTGTTTCCTAAAGTTGATAAAGATCATATGGATTCATTTGATTCAAACTGTTATAATTATGCTTCTTCCCAACTTTAGAAGCCTAGCTAAACTGTCTTGATCTAGTGAACTTCAGTCCGAAATTTTCTGCAGTAGCTATGTGCCTGATGTATCTTAATAGGTACTTTTGTCCTCTACACCTGTAAATGCTGATTTTGAGCACAAGGCTATAATATGTTATGGTTATATAAGGCAGGAGATCAAGGACGCTTGCCTGTGCTGATTTTGAGCATGAAGGAAAGCAATTATCAAAGAAGGCCAGCTGTCGTTTTTCTGCATAGCACTAATAAGTGCAAAGAATGGTTACGGCCATTGCTTGAGGTAACAATTTTGTGGTTTCCTCAGCCCTTCATTATTCGTCAGCCACAATTTGTAAGGGTCGATGGATTTCTTATGCATTCCACTTGTTTCAGGCGTATGCTTCACGGGGATATATAGCTATTGCTATTGACTCTCGTTACCACGGAGAACGTGCCAGCAGTCTGACCACCTACCGAGATGTGTGTACTTTGAGCTACAGAACGTCTCTTTCCTCCTAAATTCATCCCTAATTTGGTTTCACTATTCATTGCAGGCTCTTGTATCATCATGGAAAAAAGGTGATACAATGCCATTTATTTTTGATACGGTAATATCCTCATTCATTATGTGTATTCATATAATTTATAGTGATTTACGCAGCAATTTAGAAAACTTGAGGAGTCCGATTGCAACTAATTAAACATAGGATTTAAGTTGCCAATTCTTATGGCTATAGAGAGATTCATGTGAATTTTTAATTCTGCAGGTCTGGGACTTGGTAAAACTAGCAGAGTATCTTACAGGGAGGGAGGATATAGACCCATCTAAAATAGGGATCACCGGAGAATCACTTGGAGGTTGGATGGATGAATTTAAGAGTATGATAAATGTCATATTTGCTTTAACATGCAGAACTCATGTAGTCATTCCACAATGCAGGAATGCATGCATGGTTTGCTGCTGCTGCTGATACACGTTATGCAGTGGTTGTCCCTATAATTGGTGTTCAGGTTTGTCTTGTTGAAAGTTACAGGATTTTTGTCATAAAGCGGAAGCACCATTTTTCTTTCATGTTTATCTTGAAAATGTAATAAATAAGCTGTATGTTTATGCACCATGGTGTAGGGATTTCGATGGGCTATAGACAATGATAAGTGGCAGGGCCGAGTTGACAGCATCAAGGCTGTATTTGAAGGTGAGACGCAGAGGAAGATAATTAAAATTGAAAAAAGTACTTAACCAGGGTTGGGTTTATCAATACATGTTTATAATCTACTTTATTACTTAAAGTTGTAATATCATTAGCAATTTTTTTTATTGGGGTTTGTACAGAGGAGATTTAACAGACTACCACTTGGAGTTCAAGCCCATCTGGGGGGATCACCCATTCTCTTGATGAGCTACTTGATGATATCTTAGTTTCACTAGGACGTTAGTACTAAGTGTTTCCTTACTTTTAGGTTTTCTTGATCAATCATTGCCAATCTCTCACTCGGTTTCTGCTATACTGAGCAAAGCCTCCATGAGGGTGGTTCTCAATCTGTGCTGCTAGAAGCAGTGATGACCACCTCAGCATCCATCTTAATCACCGCCTGTCTCAGCCCCTTATTCCATGCAATAAGTAGACCTTCCCTTGCACCGAACAGCTTAGTTTCAAGGAGATGGGAGAGTTGCAGGAAAAGCCCACTACCCAAGTTCTATAATCCTCGTGATATTCAGTATGATATTTGTTCTTTTGTAGGCTGCATTAATTATAGAACTTGCTAGATTGAAAACCGTTGATGTTATTAAGAGATGGATCACTTTAAAGATAGTCAAAAGTCTAATTGCCTGAAGTGTAGAGTAACCACTAAAGAAATTTTTGTCACCTTCAAAAGTGTTTTTTATAATAAGTTTGTTATAGTAGGACCCTTACATGGAATTTTTAAGCACTTCCTACAAGAAATTTCCCAAACTGAATCTTGTTATTGTTTCCATGATGCTATTAATTTTTATGTTTCAGAAGCACGGATTGATTTAGGCAAGACTGCAATCGATAAAGAAGTGGTGGAGAAGGTCAGTTGCATTTTTGTTTCTGCATATGTCTGATCATGTTCGGAAAAGTTTTGCTGAATACTTGTTCGTTGATAAACTATAACAGGATTTAGCCTTTCACAATTCTGATGCAGCATAATTTTCTAGAGACTGCTATTTCTTCAGTCTTAAAGGCTGCCTCCATGTTCTTCTTAAGTGTCGGTCAAGCATTTTGACCGAGCCAACCTATAGTTCTACAGGATTATTGTAGCAAAATGTATGATGCCACACTGCCCTCAGAAGCTGAATGGCAAGGGGTCTTTCAGTATCCTTCCTGACCGTGGATCAAAACCAACATAATGATCTTATTTCATAAAATCCCCCCTAATAAAATCAGAGAAGCACTATTTCCCTTTCTTGCATATCCAATGGTGTACACATCATTTGGCTTGAACTCAACTCAATGTGATAAACTAATGCCCTTGCATACCATACGTTTAGTTTCCTTTAGCACCTTACGCGTATGCTCTAGAAAGTAAATAATAGGCAACTCTCTTGACTTGAGCAGCTCTGGCAATCTGATTTTGTCATCTTATTATAGCATGTCTTAAAGTTATCGACCCTGAAAAGGTCTTGGTTAAAAAACAAATGGCTTGAATTGTCCTGAGACCTAGGGCTTAGGAGTTAAGACCCAAAGCCACTAGGAAAAAAGTAGACCAGCTTGAATTTTTAACTAAGCTAATTATTGGTATAATTAATCTACTACATGAGTTTGTTCATGTTGCATTTTAATCTATTTATTATACCCTTAATAGGGCAAATGGCACCTCTTAATAAGAAGATAACATGTTTGGTAAAGACGCTCAAATCCTTCTCGGAAAACAAAATCAGTTGTTTTTTTGCATGCTTTAACAAAATAGTGTTCTCATGTCTCAATGCATTATAAATCCTCCTCCTCCTTTTTTGCCAAAGAAAAGTCACTCACCGGCAGGTTATAGGATCATGAATTGGAAGTGCAGCATTTATATTTCTTTTTCCTTTTTGTCCCCCCTTTCCTTCAACAATAATGTGTGACACACATGATAAGAACTGTGCACAAATGCATATTGCATAATCTAGTAAGGGAGGGTAAAATGGAAGAAGAAAGGACTCTGTCAGTCTGATCATTGGAGGGGGAGAACCAAAAGGATTTCAGGATAATTTTGGTATTCAATTTACATTCTATAGATATTATGAAGTAAGCAAGTGGGTAATAATCTTCATCCCACCGCTAAGCAGCCTTAAGATCTGCCTAAACAGCAATCACCTATGTTTTTATTATAGGTTTTCCATGAAGTACTTCTCAATCTTTGTCATGTGGAAATTTCTTTTTCCTTTTTTTCTTGCTAGAAATTGCGGTAAGTATGCTGCTCAGTTATCAGCATGCCACTGTAGTTTTACACGTTCAGTATGCATTTTTCATTTTTATCCTCAGATAAGCAGCCTGCATTTTAAATTTTCTGTTCTTGTAAATTTGTAATGCATGTTGAAAGTTGGGTTACATCCAGTGGTTTTACTTTCCAACCAGGTCTGGGATAGGATCGCTCCTGGCTTAGACTCTCAGTTCGATTCACCTTATACAGTTCCAATTATTGCACCCCGCCCATTACTGATTCTAAATGGTATGACTCAATCATCAGAACAAATGTACTAGATTCTTTTTCCCAAATGCTGATGACATGACCTAATATTTTTTGAACATACAGGTGAAGATGATCCTCGTTGTCCAATTGCAGGCCTGGAAATTCCTACATCAAAAGCACGCGAAGTTTATGAAGAGACCCATTGTCCAGACAATTTTAAGGTATAATGAGAGCACAAATAAGTAATGATTTGGTATCTTTGACTGTTTACAAGGTTTACAGTTCTCAGATGGTTAATGTAAACCCCCAAGTATTCTCCATTTCAAGCTATGTATGTCAAACTTGTATTCATCAGACTATTACCAATCGGTTTTTTTTTGTACTTGCAGTTGGTAGCACAACCGGGAATTGGGCACCAGATGACACCATTCATGGTTAAAGAAGCCAGTGATTGGTTAGACAGGTTTCTAAAGCCAGAATGATTAATGTTTGTTGTAAATCAAAACATCTACTTGTGTGAGTCTCTAGTCAAGAAGAGCTGTTTTCTTTTCTTTCGGTAAATAAGATCAGCTGTCTTCTTTATATATGGAAAGTTGATTTTAATTGCAATAAGGCATTTTGCATTGGTTGTGCAGTCACAGTGTTAGAATGTTGTGATTGCTCTTGCGCTGCACAAATTTCATGCCAAAATTTGACCCTGGCTTCTCAATTTTGCAAAAGCTTCATCAAACAAGCGACTTTTAGACGTCAAAATTTCTGTGCTTCTTCGGTTGTGTTTTTTTTTTTTTTTTTTTTTGGGCCTTCTGATTGATGTCTTCTCCATTCAATCTGGCATTCTATGGCCAAAATCCGTATAAAATATTTGCAAGTTTTTTTTTTACCTTTTTCTTTATGGTTATCAAGTTAAAAGGGCACAGTGACCTGCATTGACACAAAAGTGTTGATTATCAAAAAAAACAAAAACCAAAAGAATAATATCATAAATCACTGTTGCCAATTAAAACACAGTGATAGTTTCTTCAAGTGGTTTTTCATAGGCTTAAAAAATTAGAAAGTACATTCAAGTTTCAACACTGGAGGACTATCGAAAGGCAATACCACGAACAGGCTACTGTTCTTTTTAGGCTCAAAATTTAGTGTACAGTCTAAATATTAGATTTTAAGGGGTTTAAAAACAAACTGTTGCTTTTTTTCCTAGTTCAACTGTCAAGGTGTGGTGTTTGGTATATTTCAAAGTTTAACTGCATTCTGATGATCTTTTGATAAATTACAAAGTTTTCTGAGGTTCTGATAATCTTGCATACAAATGCAGAAGAGCTGGGAAATATATAATGAAAGCCGTAGTGTTTTAGAAAGAAAAAAAATTGCCTTGAAATGGAATGAAACTTGAATCTCTGTTTGATGCTGTCAGCCATCTTCACAAAAACAATGGAACTGAGCCAGATTTTCTTTATAAGCTAAGCAACGCTACAGAGCCCAAGAGGAAAAACTTTGCAAAGAAGAATTTTAAGACAACAACTAACAACATTTCTGAGTCTGCAGATTAACACATGATGCGAAGCACTGTTAAATTCTCAAAGAGAGCTCGGCTACATACTGATTTTCTAGCATGCCAAACAGCAACAAAATGAACATGCGGTTCCAAGAGAGACTTTGAACAGAAGCAAAACAAAATCTTATAAATTCGACCTAAGGCCAAATAAGTCTTCAAATCGACTCTTTTTTCTACAATGTATGTACATAATTCAATGCAAAAAACAAGCAGCACAACCACTGGGCTAAAAGTGAATATATGTATGATGAAAACCTGGAGAAAGAAAAACAGAAAAAGAAGAAAGCAAGTGCGTAAACAGGAAAATGAGTGAAAAACAGTATCTATTTCACATGCTTCCAGCTCTGCCAGGAGTTGTTTTTGTTTGCTTAAGTTTTGCAATGTCGACAAGATCTCCAAATAGCTTATCCTCTGGTTTTGAGGGCTTTCCAGGAGGCACATAGGACAGAGCAGAAGCCTGGTAGGAAGAATTCCCAAAGGCATTGTCATCCCTAACGGATAGCCCAGACATTCTCTGGTTGAGGAACTGAGCATTTTGTTGCTGACCATAGCCATAGCCCATCATTTGGTTGTTATACATCTGTTGAGCATGCATAAAAGCAATTTGACCAGATTGCATTTGCTGTGGGTACATGCCCATTGATTGCCCTCCCTGGATTAGTTGAGGATGCATGCCTACCATTGGATTGCTCTGAACAGCAGGGTTATTGCTAGCTGACAAATGGCCGCCTGTGATAGGTTGTACATACATTCCCACCACCTGACCATTTCCCATAGCCTGAGATCCGGGATGTAAACCATTCAGCATTGGCTGGGAGTGCGTGACAACCACCTGAGTGACCTGCATTGGTTGAGGGAATTGAGTACCAGCTAGTTGACTATTGTCAGTTGGCTGAGCTTCCCAGGGTGGTGGTGGTAGTGACCCACTGCTTTGAGCACCTGCCAAACATCCAGTAAACATCAAATAAATTCTAAATGCAACATAATAGGGCAAATCCTCTACATTTAAATTCTCTGCAAGTCACGCACTGCCCAAAGGCCCCTCCTAATAACTGTAGGTCAGTTTGGTGAAAATAACCGGGGAGGTACGTAACCAGAGCATTTTCACATGAATGACTAAATTTCTGTGGCCCCTACTACACTGACTTGCACTAAAGGATTTCTGCCCACAACATTGAATAACCACAACAAAAAAAGCACATAGGGTAAATTAGAAGTGCACCATAGACCGGCGACGGTGGCTGCTGGTGAGCTATCTGGCCATTCCAAGCAGGATTAGCGCCTTGTGTGTATAGTGACTGCTCATGTTGAGGTAGCATCATGTTTGGGACACTTCCATTTGTATAAAATGAGGGTTGCAGAGATTGAAAATTTGACTGTTGCTGATATTGTGGTGTCGAAGGGTATGCTTGTCCAACTGGAGAGCCAGACTGAGTATTGTTACTCTGTGAAAACATATCTACAAGAGCAAGGGCATTCTGTTGAGATGCAGGACTGGCAGTCTGGGGTTCTCCCATGGGAACAATAGCTAGCGAATTCTCTGCCATTGGTGAGTTAAAGTCATCTCCACTCAGAAGGTCTATCTTAGGATAGACCTTTATTGGAGTTATTGCTTGACCATTAGTTGCAGGAGGAGCAGTGAGCAATAACTGTGTCCCTGCACCTGCACTGGATGTAGATCTGTAGAAAAATCCAGAGGTGCAACTTAGACTAACCAGTGACTGCATAAAGGATTTAAATTTCATTATAATTTTCACACCAGGTTCAATTTTAAAATCAATATACAAAATCTCAATATCCACATGCAGAAAAAATGAGCAGTCTAAATTAAAACAAGAAAATATCAACATAGAAGTGATTTATATTTTAAATGCATAGCACCAAAACCAGATTTGGAAACTTTATTCTATGTTAAGAAGAAACTAGAGCAAATGATAGGCCTAGTAATAATGAAGTACCACAATCAAATGCATAAATTAACCAAAGTTCACAGCTAAAACTTGATAAGGCCATTTAATGCTGTGGAACTTCTAATTAGCCAAAATTCTTCTTGGCGCGTTGCAAGGATAGTTCTTAAATGAAGTAATATATCAAACCAAATTAATATTACATGAAAAATTTATTGAGAACATCACCAAAATCAGGCCAACTTAAATCCATTCTCATCACTTTATGATGCGAGTACCCGATCACAATCAGCAAAATTAACCCCCATAAATATGAGCTTGGATTTAACTATGCAAAATACTAAACCTAGACAAAAGACGCCTCAATTCACAATTTCAAAAGGCCAGCTAAAATAGTAATCCAACATTTTCAAGGCTTTGGCTACTGCAAAGGAAGGAAAACAATTCACATAAACTAAATTACCCCTTATCCCGCTGTTTGCTGTCTCCCGTATCAATTAGAGGAGCATCAACAACAACCAGTGCTCGAGTGGGTTCAGGCTCCGGTTTCTGTTTTTGAACAGGAGTTCCTGAAGCAATGGCTTCATGCTTGGCTAGTAGACGCTGCAAGTCATCATTCAGTAACAATCCTTGACATAGGAGTGATTCATCCCTACAGGAAGTAAAAAAATAAATGTATTAATATAATTAAAAGTTAGAGTTAGCTCACAGAGGAAATCCTTGAAAAAAGCAACAAAAGAACAGTGGCTTGTCTAAATAGTTCCCACCTAAGTAAATACAGATAAACCACCAATTGTTTAACATAAAAGAACAACACATCAGTCATACAAATGCTAGCCATCGTGGTCAACCTCAGATGCGTGAAAAAGAGGACGATGAAAAGAATAAGACTCTCAGCATTACAGGTATTACTCTTTTAACCCTGATGCTACTTGTTTTGACCATAAAATATTTAAATTGGAAATTATCCTATCAGGTTCATACAACTCAGGTCAACAAATTTCATATATCAAAACTCAAGTCTGTAACTTTTGGTTTTTAATTTTTAGATTAGTTAGAAATTTCAAAAGTTAGTTAGATTTAGTTGTTACCTCTTGCTCATGATTAAAGAAGGAATAAAAGTAACTTAACACCAAGGATAAAAGCGTATTCTTCTACACCAAGGGCATAATAGTAATTTAACACTTCAATGCACTCACCAAAATTAAGGTTCACGCATTCATTCATTAAGATTCATAATTATACATTATTTGACTTTATTCAGAAAATCCTAATTGATTTGCATACAAGAGTGTTTTGGAAACTACCCTTCTAGAAATTTTTTAAGTTCAAATCGGCAACTTGATTCGATTGACCAATGGAGCTTTTAATCAAAGGATACACGATCTGGTTCGATGGACCAGTTCCTCAATCGATCTATCTGTTCAGAAATTCAGTTTTCTGTCCAAATTAATACATTGAAAACCCTACTCTCTATTTACTACTCAAGGGCAGATTACATACACTAATCTAGAGAATACAAATACCATACTTTTTGAGTTCTAGAGTGCATCTACATTTTTCTTTTTACATTCATCATCTGCATTAATTGGTTAGTGTAATTTAAGTGTTTGACATCTATTGATGCAGAATTAATCTGAAGAGTTCGGAACTAACTTCAACCTATTCATCAGAGATTGATTTGGACGACTCGTGGTTGAGACTGAATCAATGGTTGGAGAAGCAGATTTGTGGAGCGAAATTAGGTGATAAGTGAATTGTGTGTTGAGAGACTCGTGGAAAGTTTGGTGGATTGATCTGTGTCAAGAGGTAACTAGGGTGGGTTTTCTAGAATTTGGGGTACTGTTAACCTCGGTGTAACATCTCTGTCATAGTGGGCTCAATTTGCTTGGACTAACATATTGGGTTTTCCACATAAAAGATCTCTGTCTGCATATTTTTACGCTTTACTGCATTCAGGCAACTTGACCATCCAGATCATCTAGTCCAAAAGCCTTTATAGTCCTCAATGAAAATCAGAAACACAGACCTTCACATAGACAAGTAAGACCTACTGGGAAAAAAATATACACAAGTGAGCAGGTACGCATGAGAAAGAGAGAGAGAGAGCATGCGCATTAAATAGTTTTAAGGATATGAATCTATCAATGGAACAGCTCTCACCATTCGCCAATCAACTTATTAGCTAGAGAACTGCTAGACATCTATACTCCCCATATATTTAACTTTCCTCTCCATAACCCCTTTCTCTCATATAAAGCTAGTGAAACTCCATCCTGTTAAATACACCATCTCCCAAAACCCTCCAATTCAAACAATGTTTCTCTATTTCTATCAACTTGTCTCTCCCTAAAGTTTCAATCCTTTGTGATGAGCAAAGAGCAATCTTTTATCCTCAAAATAAAGAACAAAAAATAAATAATAATTCAAAAGACCATGCAAGAAATATTAATAATCCAATTACACTCTAAGAAAGTAGTTTTCGATAGTCTGGCAAGTTCAGCCATATGGAGTGGCATACTGTGGGATAGGAATTTTAAAAACTCAAGGTTTACTTTTCCAGTGTGCTTCATAAAACTGCCTTGGAAATTTTGATCAAGAAAACTGGAAAAGTGGTAGCCGTATCCAAATGGTTCAACCATCCCACTGCTTCTCTTGAGAACAACCATAAAAAATGCCAATTCAGAGTAGCATAGGCCAATATATCAGACTCAGATAAATACAATGCAAACTGTTCAGCAGTTATCTCAGAAGATATTTGGTCAGCAATCCTAGATTTTAAGAATAGTGAGAATCAGAATACTTAAACTAAAATACGGGACAGACGCACACATTTGGCCAAAATGGGAACTTCAACGTTTGAACAACTTCTCTTTTTCATTTTTCTAGTTTTGGATGGAGATGAAGTTGAAGGGATGCCTAGGCCCATTTATGAAGACATAATCTGAAGGTATGGAAAGATGAAGATTCGAAAGCCAGTCTGCGCACTGTTAGCCTGCCCCACCCTGGAACACTTAAAGGCCACTTCTAACCCATGATTGGTTTTTAGGCTTTGGTTGTTCAATGGTTGTATACTTAATTCTACAGCTGTTTGTCTCAGAAGGCTGCCTTATCCTTCATGCCTTTGCTTCACCCCATTGCGCCTCCATCAATTGGCAATAGAATTTGTTTTTTTGTCCCATCAAACAAAGAAGGGGAAAAGAGAGTAAAGGGTAGACTTCAGACAAGCATTGACCGATCCAAAAAAAAAAAAAAAAAGAATTAACAGAAGCACTGAAAGCAGTCATACAAATAGACTAGTGCGTAGTGAAAGTGATACAAGGCCTTACGCAGTCGAGTTAACAAGGTGTACCACTCTTCGCTTGTACGTACGGCATTGTTCCACCAAGTCAACGATAACTTCCTGTCTAAGCCCCTGCCAAGTGGTAATATGATAACAAGAAGATACAAGACCATTTTTAAGAATTAATAAGTGCAAAAAAAAATCTGTGGAAAAAGAATAAAAAATCTAAGAAGGTACATGAATTTTTAGAAACTAATTCGAGCCCATAATTAAGAGAACAATATACCCATGCCCCACCAAGTCAAAGTTACCCAATTTCACTTCCATTAGTGGCTTAATTATATACCAACTTTACAAACATCTCAATACATGAAAGTCTTATTAAAGAAAAGAATTCCACGTCTCCTTCACAGCAATTAAAAATATACCTCCTTGTTCCCGGGATCCAGTGCATTCAGCATTTCTGCGAGGACATCCATTATACCACGTGCATTCTGAATCTCTGTCAAACTAGAAGAGGAAATATCAATTAAATCCAAGGATACAGAACTAGAAATAACAAAATAAAACTTGGTAAAGATGAATAGAAAATTTAAAGCATCCAACAGCAACATGTGTAGTTTACGCTGATTAGTGATTCCAATCTTATTTTCTCAAATCAACTAAGTGCACCATGACAAACATTTACACCGTTAATATAAAAACAACAAATTTATTCAACACTAGAGATTCAGGTCCCGTGCATTGGAATAACTAGCCTTCCTGTGCAAAATTTCTTGGAGAATCACCATTGATGGAGTGGATTACAACTAGAACAAATAATAAATGTGGCAATTTGTAACAAATGCACAGAAGTGAAATGCTGATGTTAGAAGCCGGATAACCTCCTTAAATCAATGAATTAAAAGATCCAAGAATTATCTAGTTAAGTCTGGCACTGATGAAACCAACCAGTAGAACCACTTAGGAGAATTTCCCAGTGTTCCGCAATGGAAGGGATGGATGACTAGAGGGAAAGAAAAAAAAAAAAAAAAAAAAAAAAATCACTTAAATTATGTGAGACTTGGGGGGTGCACATGCTATTTACATTTTCTTTCCAGCGTCAAGTGTTTCCTTCTACAAAATTTGATTATTGCTAACTTCTCAAATTTTTAAACAAATTCTCTAATATATTGACAGGTGTCAATTTTTAAAAAAAAAAAATTGAAGAAAAACATAAGGATAATATAACAAACCAAAACTGATTATCAGAATATCAAGCGAGGACAAGAAATTCATACTGATGGATAGCCTGTGCTCATTCCCCACTTTATAATTTATTTGCATGACAAATAACTTTATTTATCCTATTAATAAATTATGTTCATTCAACTTGATCACTTTTTCTTTCCACGAAAACTTTAAGATTATGTTGTACAAAAAAATTTAGCAGGAGTCCCGCATTGTCACAATTTCCCTCAATTCATTAAGGCATCAGAAAGCTTCTATATAAGAACAATTCATTAACAAGAAGAATGCCTTCATGTAGCAGAACTGAGAATGTTAGGATGGATGGGTGAGTTAATAGAAGAGATGAGGCCACTAATGAAAGTGTCAGAGATAAATTAGGTGTGGCACCCATTAGTAAGAAAATTAGAGAAAGTAGGCTTAGATGGTTTGGAGACTTACATCAGAGAGTCAGAGACCTAGTGATGCGCCGGTTAAACAAGGAAGACTAGTTGTAATATGGGATGAGATTTTTAAAACGACTTTAAAAAGTTAAATATAGTAGGTGAAATGGCCTGTAATAGAAAAGATTGGAGAGAGAGAATTCATGTGGCTAACCCCATTCATATGGGATTAAGGTAAGGAGGAGGATGATGAAAGCTGCTATGTAAAATCAATCTCCTTACAATCTAATTTTGTGTTACTCCATACCAGATAAACAGAAATAACAATATAATGGACTGTAAGTATTACAAACACACCACTACAATACCTCAATCAAACAAATTAGATGCAGGTAAGCATATAGTTTCATAGAGACTCTTCAAACTAGCTTAAGGAGAATTCAGTATTAGCTTCATTTACCAAGTAACTGGATCAAGAAGTCAAAAGCTACCACTAAGATAGAAGCAACAACTTGCAAAAAAAAAAAAAAAGAAAAAAAAGCTATACTGACAGATTGGATCAAAAGTAGCTAATCAGTGCACCTCAAAGATGGAACCTCAGCCTCTGCGGATGACTCGGCTGCTTCTTGCTGATATTCTGGAGTACGAAGATTTTGTGGGTATGATGTCAGAGGCTGTGTTTGCAGGGGTGTGAATACGGGTGCAGAACTTTCAGATCTCTGAGGGAAAACTGCCCCAGCACGCTGAACAAACAAGTAACGTGACTTGATGTAACAAAAATGACTTTATCATAGAGGCATTACTTCTATCAAGAATGGAAATGACAAAACATAAAATCACACAGAAAATGTTACATAAAAATTGACAACCAGATGGCATATAGTTTCTTAATTAATTATTTTCTTCTCAAATCTGAAAAGTACTTAAATGACCTAACATACCAATAACTCCTGGTATGCTGCAAAGTATTGTGTGTATTTTGCCCTTGGTCCCCCAAAAGCTTCTTGCCAAGTATCAATTAGAATCAATATCTTCTCTTTGACGTGAAAGTCAGGCTACAACCATAAAAGAATAACATATACCACAAACATTAATGATCAAAAATACAAGGGAGTAAATTACCCGGAAAATATATATATATATATATATAAGGGATCAACCAATTGTTCAATTAATATTCTGACCTTCTTCTTCACTATTTTCACCATCTCATGAAGCACTTCTCTCTCTGCTACATGCATATGGACAATGTCCCCACAATTCTTTATGATGGTCTCCAGTAGCTAACATATGGGACACATACCAAGTAATACCAATTAAGTCTTCTGTAAGAAAGTTGTGATAATGGCAAGAAAATGTTGCACTACTTTCAATGAAATCTGGAACCAGATCAATCAAACTTTCAACATATCATTAGTTTCATTTATAGAACGACTTTGAATCATTAAAGTTTTAAATTGATTAAAAGAACAAGCTACTTCACAGCCACAGGATCCTAAGAAATAATCTCAATTATATTCTTGGTGAGCCTTAGTAGAACTCTAGGAAGAATCCGTGTCCGACACGACACAGACACGCATCGGACACGGACACGCGTCGGACACGCCCCGACACGTGTTGGACACACCAAAAAACGTGTCTGGAAATTTTTTTTTTTTTTTTTTATTTTCGGACATAGCTCAGACACGGCAGGGACACTCCGCGCGTCTGGAAATTTTTTATTTTTTTTTTTGAATGCTGATATGTTCTGTTTTTTGTTTTGTACTACCCTTTTGGTATTGTAAAGGTTAAAAGTGCTAGGTCAAATGATGGATGGGAATAGATGATAGTACATTGACTTGTTTTTGTATCTTTTTTGGGGACTAGCCTTTAGGTTTTGTGAATGTTAAGTGCTAATGGTAAAGTCCTGAATGTTAAACAATCATGAATGTTAATAGTCCTTTCTGTCTATGCTTTTGTATTTGGAGTAAAGTTGCAATGATGATTAAATGATACTAGTTATTATTCTAATATCTTGTTTTTTATTTGGTTTTATAACTCTACAACATTGTTCTTTTATAGTTTATTAGTTATGATTTGTGTTTTTTTTTCATTGTGAGGTTGATGAAAAATAGTAACACTCAGTAATTTTTAAAGTACTACATCATATAAATATATACTATTTGCCATGTCCGTGTCCTAATTTTTTTCGATTTGCCGTGTCGCCGTGTCCATGTCGTGTCGTATCCGTATCCCGTATCCGTGTCCGTGCTTCTTAGGTGGAACTACATGGGGAACATAAATAAAGACAATTTTTTTTATACCAATCACCATATCAGGTCCCATAATATGGAGATACCAACAGAAATATCTAAGATCAAAATGGTTTGCAAGAAATGATAAAAGCACTAAAACATGAGACTTCCAAAAAAACATTACAGTACACTAAGTGATGAAATCATAACCAGAATATTGCAAAATAAAAGAATAGATACCAAGTATGCAATATATTTTTCTTTTTTGTGAACAAGAAACAGGTTATCGGTGGTGTAATTATTAAATATAAAATAGAGTACAATATTCAGATGCCTGTCAATTACAAGCATTATATGGACTTGTACATTGTAGTTGTGAAGTGCCATGCTTATGAAGGTCATATGTATCATAATAACTTTTTAATCTTATAAAAAATGACCTCTGTGTCTTCAAAAATTCATTAAAAACAAAATACTTTGAATTTGGTTATGAGATTTACACATTCAGAAACTAGACTCAGCCAGCTTTCCAACAATATATTATATTCCTAATTTAAAGTCTGTTGGACCCCTCGATGAAGCATCCGAACTCAGGATACGTGCAATCAGGTTCAGCAAAAAAGGTCGATCAATCAAACATGAATGTCGATCAAAGTTACTCCAGAATAGCTCGATCAATCGAGGAAAATCCAGTAGGCGGCGATCAATTGAACAGATGCCCAGAGTCCAAAAAGGTTTCCAAACTTTCCAAAACATTCCTGATCAGTTTCTAATCACTCCAACACTATAAAAAAGTGCTCAATGTTCTTTAAACATAAGCATAACATAAGATTCACAACTACACAATTGTGAGAAATTAAGAGCTCTATTTTCAATCACGAGTGAGGTTCTTCATAAAATACCCCATATCATTGTGTGGTTTGAGTTTTAAAGCAAGGAACTTCGTTGAATACTTGAAGATTATCAACCACAACATCTACACATCAAAGAATTGGACGAAAAGTGGTTTGAGTCTAAATCACTCATTCGAGAAGCAAAATCATGAGGACCGAAGAGTATTGACAACGAGCAGATGGATAACCTGAACACTTCCAGAAAAAGTTTTTGTCATCAGTGTTAGGGAGGAAATTAGGAGCTTCTAGAGTTTTAAAAACTTTTAACAGGTTGTAAACTTCCTTTCTCAAAGTGGATTCAATTTGCATGGACTAGGTCCCGTGATTTTTTCTCGTTGGGGTTTTTCACGTAAAAATCGTGTGTTATTGTGTGGTTGCATGATTTAAATATTTCTGCTCTTTATACTTAACTCAATTATACTGTTGCATTCTAAAATATAATTGTGATAATTTAAAAATAAATTATTGTTACTTAAAATTGGAGAAGATCGATTCACCCCCTACACCCTAAATATGTTTTGGGCTATGTTACCTGGACTCGGGTAAGTGTGCCAGGTATGGGTAGGTATCCACACGTCGGATATACCAAATCTCTAGCACATAGACAGTGCCAAATATTCATATTTGTTAACATTTTTATTTTATTTTTTAGAATAAAATAATGTCTTTAAGTAACATGGTGTCTAATATAAGCAATTTCATTCATTTTAAAGCAATAATATAATAAAAATGAATTATTGGATGTGTTTTTTTAGGTGCATATCCAACCAAAAGTGGCGAACGCATGTCCGAGTATTGTTTTTCCGACACAGGTACGTCACCTACTTTTGAAGAGTCCATGTAATATAGGTTTTGGGCCTTGCACTAAGTCTTGTATCATAGTCTTGGATAACAATCTTACATTTTATCAATAAGAAAAATGCAATTAATATAGGTGACAGACAAAATTTAAATTCATTTACACTTCTTCCATACAATAAGTCTAAAAGAATCAATGTAGCACAGTCAGATGAACAAAAAAATTTAATGAAAAAAGAAAAAGCAAAATGCAATAAATTCCTAAATGAAAAAATAATAATAATAAATAAATAAAATAAAATAAAAAAATAAAAAGAAAAAGAAAAATTAGACTGGCCTAACCAAGATGTTATTATAGCCAAATCTGACATTTGACCATCATCACCAACCGAAATCGAAAAATAGTTTATGGATGCAAACAGAGCAACAAAAGATTGAGTAAGCTTTACAATACACTCATGCACACTAGTATTGCAAGGATTAACCCTTTCTGGAAATAAAAGAAAAAAGGAAAGACGGAATTATAAAGTATACATGAACCTAATAAAGATGAAGACAATGTGGATATCACAAAGTGGAAAGACAGTGGAAAATGTAAACAAAGAACCAAATCCATATAATCGAAAAGCATTCAGTCTTTTTGAAGCTTACTGTGAGGGCGAGAAGTTGAACTTTAGGATTCTTACTTCCAAGGCGCTTTTTTATTCCTTTTACAACGTCCTTCACTTGTCTGGCAAAACAATCCCAAATTAGTGATACCCAACACATGAAAATTGATCCAACTAACACAGATCAAAATTTCCCCTAGTAAGGAAGAAAATGATGAAGAGCAAACACAAACACTTGAAATACATAGAAATGTACTTATCAAAAAAAAAAAATACACAGAAATGTTGTTGCTGTAGTGTTATAAAGCAAGTTCTCCCATAAGTCATAACAGAAGATGAAAGCGAGAGTTGTTCTCATAGGTACTACTATTGGGTTTGGCAGCACTGCACTCATCTCGGTCTCTTGCCCTGATTACAACAGAGCACAAACCTCACCATCAGCTGATCTCAGGGTTTACAACAAGCAGGGAACATATATATGCAACACTTCTCAATTGGGTGACTCGAATAAGACATAAGGTAAACCAGCCAATTAATGGATTTCAGGTTTATACCGAGCAGGAGATGTAATCTAACAGAGGGAAAAGGAAAGTATTTGACAGGCTACTAAAATACATAAATCATTTTGAAATTATATTAATGCGAGGGGCACTCTCAAATCCCATACATTCCCTAAAATTTCCTATGATATTTGACCAAGAAATTCATATCAACGAGAGGTCAAATCAAATCGAAGCACAAGATTCTATCAAAGAATTATAAGGTTTTAACAATGTTGAAATATATAAATACTTCTATATAATCATGGAGCAAAATCCTCCACCAATCACGGTGAACCAGTCAATTTCCTTCCAACTATATAACGGTGGAGCAAAATCCTCCATCAATCAAAGTGCCTCATTTGACTATTGTACACCTTCCATATATTCTTATCTTTACCAACCCTATATATAGGCTCTTTGTACTCAAGCAATATAAAGATCTGAATAATAAAAATTGTAGCTCTTAGTTGCTCTTTGTCCAGGGATGTAGGCCTTAGTGCCGAACCATGTGAATCTCTGTCTTTTCTCTCTTCCCTTTTCTTATTTGCATTTCTTATTTCCGCATCCAAATTTAACATAGTATCAGAGCTAGGTTGTTTTTGTAATCCCATCTAGAATTTGAGGGGGAGTATTGGAATTATTATAATGGAGCATATTCTCTGTCTTCACATACCTTTCCCGGCGTAGTTCCAGTCAATTCCCGGCGAGTTCTGGTTAGTTTTTCCGGCATAGTTCCAGTCCGTTTTTCGGATGGTTCAGCACCTCGGCATTCCCCGATGTTGTTCCGGCCCATTTCCCAACTTAGTTCCGGTCATTTCCCGGCTTAGTTCTGGCCATTTCTCGGCGTTGTTCCTGTCTTTTCCCGGCTTAGTTTCGGCCATTTCCTGGCGTTGTTCCGGCTTTTCCCCTCTTTGTTCCTGCCATTTTCCCCGGCGAATTCCAATTTATTTTCCCTGGCAAGAGTCAATTTCCTGGCTTTGTTCCGGGCACCTTCTCATCATCTTTCAAGGCATTTCTTTGGAAAGTTGGACATTCATGATATTCATGCTCCAACTTGAGGGTGAGTGTTGAAATATATAAATATTTCTATATAATCGTGGAGCAAAATCATCCCCCAATCACGGTGATCCGATCAATTTCCTTCCAACTATATATATATATCTATATAACGGTAGAGCAAAATCCTCCACCAATCACGATGCCTCATTTGACTATTGTACACCTTCCATATATTTTTATCTTTACCATGCCTATATATAGGCCTTTGTACTAAAGCAATATACAGATCTGAATAATAAAAATGTAGTCCTTAGTGGCTCTTTGTCCATGGATGTAGGCCTTAGTGCCGAATTATGTAAATCTCGGTGTTTTCTCTCTTCCCTTTTCCTATTTGCATTTCTTATTTCCGCATCCAAATTTAACAAACAACTATGTCTACAATGAACTGAGGATAGGACAAGCATTTAAGCTGTAAATGCATAAAATCTCTTTAAACTCTAAAGAAAGACGGCTTTAATAGATTTTCTTAGTGAGTAAGAATATACTCCAAAAGAAAGGGAAAAGTACACTTACCTCCCCTATGGTTTGTCAATATTACAAGGACCTCCCCTCTTGGTGTCAATATAACACTAACCTTCCTTAAGGTCGTGATGTTTGTAATGGAGTCCCACTTACCCTAACGCAGCCTGACGGACACAAACGGAATCTACTGACGTAAGCAGACGAAAATTATTAGAAGCCCAGTTTTGCCCTTTTGATGCTTGAAAAGACATCTATACCCTTGTTGACCAATTTAAAATTATGTGTCTAACCTTCTTTTATTAACTCAAATGTACCACAATACCCTTTACTCATATATATGTGCGTGTATGCATATATCAGTTTGGATAGACTCACTACACACATTCAATCCACCTCCCTATCTCTCATTCTGTAATTAAACTTCCTCAAAGTCACTTATCAAAAAAAAAAAAAATTAAACTTCCTCAAAGTCTGTGACCTAAACTCAAGATTTAGCCAAATTGTATTTCCATGATTAGACTGTCGTAACAGTCTCCGCAAGCAGTCAAGCGACTATGAGAAGGCAGGAGAAGTGTCTTCTCTCAAGTTCACATTGCCTTGGAGCCAAAGAGTTAAAACTTCTATAGGTGGTTGATGGTAAAAGTAATATGCATAAGTAGGAGGGCGAGTATTGAATGAAGCATGATAATCATGAAAACATTCACTAGAGTGTGAGAACAGGTATGCACTGGAATGACAGAATGCTACAATTTTGGATTTGCAAGGGAGTTATACTGAACTATAAGAATGGATATATGTTAGAAAATGAAAGCTATACTAGAGTAAAGCAAGATACTAAGCCAGAGAGAGAAACTAATTTAAAGTTACATCCAAGGAAGAGAGCTAAGGATAAAAAAAATTTAAATTTTTATTTTAAAAAAGTGGGGAAGCTTCATATGCTGGTATGGGAGACACCTCTTGGAAGAGAAATTTTCTATATAGGGAATGAAGTTGGAGAGGATGGACTTTCATTCTCCATCCAAATATAGCCACAGGTCCATTTGCTTGTAGAATTTATCTTACGTGGTGTATCATGCCTCTTTTTTCAATAAGTAAATCAGAATTCCTTGATTAAAGAAACATTAAAGGGACACAAGGTCCTTTTGCCCAACTAGTCCCATTATCCCGTACTTGTGGGTCCCTGAAATTTATGCAATTGATATATATTCAAGCATCAAATGTAAGTATGATACACTTTCTCTCCAAGTGGCTATTCACAGTAATAATATACATATATGCCTACCATTAGTCCTTCTATCACAAAACGGGTACCTCACAGCGAAAGAAACAAAATATAAGGGACCAATATGATCCCCAGTAAGAATTCACCCTGCTAATATTGCTGAAGTAGAGTAGCTGAATTGGAATGGCCAAAGTTGGGTGCAAAAGTTTATCTCTATCGATGGGTTTTGCATGCAAATTTGGAGGAAGTTAATTTGATCAAAGTTGAGACAACTAATGTTGAGAACAAAATGGGGATGCTGAATGTTGAGAACAAAATTGAGTGCAAACAGTAGGTAATCCAAATTTATATACTTAAAAATAATCAGTAAATGCATAACTCAAATTCTTAAACTTACAAGCTACACTACTGTAGCTTCCTCAAATTAAGGATTAACTAAGAACCTAATTATTCAATAATAATCACTCAATTCGCAACATCCTTCCTTCCACATAACTTGGCATGGGACGTAAAATTTTTCCTTATTTCTCCAACAATCAAGCAATTGGGAAGATGATAAAAAATGATGAAACCACCAATTTGTACATTTACTAAAAAAAATTAACAGCGTACAGCTTTCAGAAGAAAAAAAAGTTATCCGAAATCACCCAAACCCACAAATAAGCTTCCATCCAAACATTATATCAACTATCAAAAACTTCTCTTTTTTTTCTTTTTCTTTTTTCTTTTTTTTTTTTTTTTTTTGGTGACTAAAAGGGTGTCCCTACCCTCTGAGAGTAATTCCCTCCGGACACCCTGCCACGTGCTAACTTTAAAAATCCGGCGATATTTCCTGTGAGGCTGGCCAGAAGGGTAGGGAAATTGAACTTAAGACCCTTATAAGTTTAGTTCTTAACCAATTCAACCCATATCCGAACAATAATCAACCAACTTCAAAACCATCCTTCAAAAAAAAATGCAATAAAATTTAAAATTTGTAATTTTATAGCTAATAAATCACAGCAGCAATCGTACAGATACCAAACGAACATAAAGAGAGCGAAAAACGTACCCAGGGTCCTGATTGCACATGTCACAGATCTCTAAGTTCATAGCCCAATCCGGACCGATGAGCATATCGCTCGTGGCTCGTTCAACCATGGAATTCACCATATTTGCTCCAAATTTAACCAAAGAAGTGTCGGAAATGAGTCGAAAATTGACGACAGCTAAAATTTCCCGGTGAGATCACAAAGAACTCCGGCAACACTCAGGTGAGCTCAGATGAAATAAAAAAAATTAGAATCTCACAATTATATATATGCATGAACGAATAAATTTACACACACATATGTATGGAACAGTCCTAAACATATGGCTCCCTCCATCTCTTTCTCTCTCTCTACTTTACTTTCTCTCTCTAACTTCTCTCTCCTCCCCCCCTCTCTCTCTGATCGTTAGCCTAGTTTTCTCTCTAACTTCTCTCTATGAACGCGTGCCTAAAAAAATGCCGATTTTTTTAAATTTAAATAATAGAATATAATAAAGGGGATTTGCCAATTAAATAAGGACACGTGTAATTTTATATTGTATCACGAGTGTCGTACTGGGTTGTACTTCTTTTGACACCGTAGGATTGGCGGACCATTTTGATCAACGGTCAGCAATGTTCTATCATCCTCTTTTATGTTCTGTGGGCCACAATATCATGATGTCGAGCGAAATTTTTCCAAACGTGCACGAACTACTCCATTAACTTACTATTACCTGAAAATTAATACTAAAAGTCAAGTCAATGCACAAAAACATCAAGTTCAGGTAATAAGCTCAATGTTGGAAAATCTAATCAATCCAAACAGGTTTTATATTGTTCGGATTATTTCTATTCGAATCGATTTAATCTCAAGTCACATTTTAAATTGAATTAAACTTAATCATATAAATGTGACATATTTAGAGAATATTAGCACATAACAAATTAGTCTCATAATTTTAAAATTATGACAATCCTATCATTATAATTAGACTTTTGGAACAAATTTTTATTTGCAAGATGATGCATGGTCCAATAACACTGAGAATTTTGTTAAGGGGGCATAATGTAATTATAAATAAATTGAAAGAGGCGGAAGGAAAATTTTAAAAAATTGAGGGGGCCACTTGACTTCCATGGGCCTTAATTGGCTCTGTCCATTCTTATTTTTTAATAATTTTTCAAAAATATAATTTCTATACAAAAAGATTAAAGATAATAATTTAGTTGTATCGCGGCTGTCTAAGGTGGGATCAAATCATTCTAAGAATAAGAATTAGGTGTGTATGTGTTTCTTCTTTCTTCTTAGTCAATTAATTTTTTGCCTTCTTCTTCGAAGTCAATTAATTTCAAGAGCATCACTAGGTTTCAATGCCACAACGGACTCACAGTCACATTCCACACACACATCGTACTGTCACACTATCCCAACTCAGCAACATGTCACGGGCCTAGAGATTTGGCGCAGCGGCACGGCCCGTGCGGCACCAAGGCGTTGCTTCAGCTCGCGCAAGCGCCCTTTAGGAATCAGATCGTGACAAACAGCTCTACACCTGACAGCCACCCTTAACACCATAAATGGGGTGTGTGCTTTACTTACCAAGGTGAAAAATGAAAATATTAATAATAATAACTATCTATATATATATATATGAAAAGTGACCTCTTTTAACTAAAAGGGATAATTACACTTATTTATCTTCTCAATTACCTAAACAACATAGACATTTTTTTTTTTTGTTTCAAATATAATACTGATAGTAGGACGTGTCATAAAATTTGTCACTCTTTTCGGCTGATATATTCAATTTTACTTAAAATGCAAAAATACTCTTAAGAGCTTAATAAAGCTATTTTTTTCATTAAAAAAGACATACTCAATATATTTTACATTAAAAACAATAAAAGTACGATGAGAGTCAAAGTCAACACTAACATAAAAGTAATATTATATTTGAAATCATACGAAATGTTCCTATTATTTAAGCAATTTATAAGGTAGATAAGTATAATTATTCCTAACTAAAACCATAAAATTATATTATTGAGTCTCTAAAAAGTAAGTTTTTTATTTAAAAAAATTATAAAAAAATAAAAAGAAAAAGAAAACAACTTTCAAGAACACATAATCAAATAAAAAAAAAAAAATCTCATTTTAATATATTTTACATTAAAAACAATAAAAGTACGATGAGAGTCAAAGTCAACACTAACATAAAAAGTAATGTTATATTTGAAATCATACGAAATGCTCCTATTATTTAAGCAATTTATAGGGTAGATAAGTATAATTATTCCTAACTAAAACCATAACATTATATTATTGAGTCTCTAAAAAGTAAGTTTTTTATTTAAAAAAATTATAAAAAAAAAGGGAAAAAGAAAACAACTTTCAAGGACACATAATCAAATAAAAAAATGTTCTCATTTTATTTTGTTTATAAATTAAAATTTCACTAAAATTTTTAATTTTTGGTGCTAACTGATTTCATTCCGACAAGGAGGGACATCCTATCTTTCAAGGTCCATCATGCAATCATCCTTCAACTGAAATTGCATTGTACTTTCTCCTTTTCTCTTTTTCCTTTTAGGGGGATTAAAATTCAAATAAGACACACTTATTGGCCTATAAATTTTTTTTTTTGGGTTGCTTAAAACACGACACCTACTTTTTATCCAAAAAAAAAATCAGTTGGATCATAAACATGGAGGGCAATATAGACCAATAGTTTTCAAAATCTAAATAAATTAAGTTATAGGATTTTATTGAAGTTACGATGAAATAATCTTTATCTTTCGGTTTTGTTTTAAATGTGAATCAAACAATTTAAGTAAAATTAGGAAAAAAAAAAAAATTTAAACACCGACATATTTTTCAAAAAATTAAACATTTTAACAATTGGATCACGAATAATGTCCAAGACAATGAATAGGTTCTAATTAGATTAAGCACTGAAATTTGACAAATCGACTACCACGTCCACCATAGATGGTAGTAGTAGATCACATAAGATCTTCAACAAACTATTGGGTGTACGTGTCTTCAACAAACCTGAGGTGTAATTAATTAATGTAATGAATAAATTAGAGTTCAAAAGATTTTAAGGAATTCATTTAATTGCGTTTTTTGCTTTGAAATATATTTTTGTCAATATTGGAAATTGGGAAAAAAAAATACAAACATGGGTCGCTTTTTGCAAAGCGATAGTTTTCAGTTTTGGTACCATTTATGTGGCATTGGTTTAAGCGTAGACAAACTTTATGTTTTAAAAATAGTATATGTTGGAATATATTCTGTTTCTCATATTTTTCTATAACCTAGCATCATTCGACTATACAAGATAGCCTAGATAGCAACAATAAGATGGATTCAGAAACATTTGAATATTATGTTGATTGGAAGAATAACCAAATATTAGCGTGTACAAATAATTAGTATTAGACTCTTTTTTTTTTTTTTTTGTTGTATCTACAATTTTTTTAAAAAAACTCTAAATTAAAGTATACTTCACTAATTAATAAGCACTTCAAATTTCACTTAAAACCATTGAATTTTTATTTTTTATTTTTTATAACAGAGGGTGTCTCCATTTCCTTTGTAGCGGTATTATTCACTTGAAACACTCTCATTCACACTTAAATTACAAATATCATATAAGCTCAGAAAAGTAGATTTTTACACATTCAAAAATGAATGAAATAGAAGAATCTTGTGATTATCCTCCTTTAGAATCATTTTTTACATAGAAGGCATGAAAGTTAAAGAAATATATGATTTTGTTTTTTATTTTTTTTTATAACTTTTTTTTTAATTCTGATAATTTTTTAATTCTACTATAATTTTATGCATAATTTTAAAAGTGTCGAAAGATTTTGTGAGTTTAACCGTTTTTTTTTTTTTTTTTAACAAGAACTAACCGTAACACTGTGCTGAATATAAATGACAAGATTGGTAATAAATGCAAGTTGACTTTGAAATGAAAGGGAGAATTAATAAACCTTTGACTCGTAAACTAATTTTCATTTACAATGTGAATTGTACAATGATGATAGTTTACACGTTTTCAAAGGCTAACTAATGCTGAATAAAGACTGGATTCTGATTAAAGGATGTGAAAGTTACGATAGCTAACCATTGTGGTTACAAGGTCAAGCTATGAGAGCATCAAATAAAATTAAAAAGTGAAGCTTTAGATCTTTGTCAATGATATGGACATATGATCCATTTCGTTTCGAGAAAAAGGGACTTTTACTCATTACATAGTGAAGCTTTAGATCTTTGTCAATGAGTTGGGCTTGGGAAGCTTAGTTAGTGCTTAAGGCGGGCTCGGACTGAGTTTGGGCTAAAAAATTTTCATATGGACTTAGTTTGAGATGAATGCCAAACCCACCCGAGTTGCGGCCTTACTTGAAATTCTCGTATTTTAAAGCCCCTTTTTCTACCACCCATCCCCTTTCTTTGCTGAGGTTTGTTCCACTGCTCAAGCCATTTTGGTCGCTGTCCCTTTGCAGAAATAACTCTTTTCTCATGCGAAAATCTAATGTCAATCCTAATTAATCTCACCGCCATTTTTGTTGGCCAATGGACTTGTCCTTATAACGGTCATAATTCTATGTGTCGCAAGTTGATGACTATGCCCTATTAATGGAACCCAAATCTCCTCTTGTTTGTTTGAAGGGAATTATGTGTTGGATGTGCCCAATTCGGACCGGACAAAGCATATCCAACACGAGATTAATGTTGAATTATGTATCCATGCATAAGTTAAAACGATATTGTTTTAATGTACAAGTGAGGTCGCAAAGTGTGGGGAGGGAATCTGATTCTCGTTAATGGAATGGTCAACCAACTACACTTGGAAAAATTGTTCTTGAACCGGCCTATGTTGAAAAAAAATTACTAGGGTTGGCCACAACTGTATAGGCCTCAGCCTCGTCTTATTCTGTTTTGGCAATTGACAAAGGTGTGGTCGGCCTATTTGGACTTAAGTGAGTGTAAAGTGTAGACGTTTATTTTTTAAATTATTAATTAGTATTATATATTTTTTCATCCATATTTATACACATTTTAATTCTCATTAAGATTCGACGACATTAATAAGGCAGGTAACACAAGTTGCTTTCATCAAATCAAGTTACACGTCGCCAAGTCTGGGTTGTCAGATTTGACTTTGAGCTTTTACTTACCTTCTGTTGCGATTTACTAATTATATATACACATGTAACACATGTGCTCAACATTATTTAAGCATATTTACTAATTACAGTAAACAAATTCAACATGGCATTCTTAAAATATACTCTCTTCTCTCGAAATGATTGTTCACTTTTAATCATCATTGTGGACTATTATGGAAAGATTTGATAAATCAGTTTTAATACAATAAAATACACACACACATATATATATTAAAATTTATTCTCTTTAAAAATTAAAAAAAAAAAACATTTATTTTGAG